CATTAGCACCTCTAGTAATATATTTACTGAGAAAAATGGTGACGTGTTCAATACTTATTTTACCCGCTGTATTTCCGTCTGCCCCCTCAAGTATGCATACCTAGAACCCGCCCTGATTGCGATTGCAAGAGGCAAGAGAAGAAGATTGAGCACGGAGCGGACTACCGGGGAAATATTCGTCCCCTTACCAGTCTGCCGGGGCAGATGGTGCGACGCTAACTGGGTACTAACTGCACCGAACAGCTGATGAAAGCACGTAAACAACCGGAGGTTTAGAACTTTTTATTCAGCGTGTGGATCCACAACTTCGGTACCAAACAACTCCAAGATGATTATCGTTTGTTTTTGCCAGGGTGAGTGTTTGTTCTGAAATAATTTTATATGTTAAGATCATGCTAACAGTAGCCGCTAATGTCAACAAACATCCAACACCTAATGACACCGCTAGGGCAGCCTAAAATCCAGATGAGGTCCATATCAAACTACCAGTAACTTAATACTCGCTACTAAATAAATTATCATTATTCATCAGATAAACGTTTGCTGGTTATTATTTGGTACCTGGTGATGTAAGACGTGTGTGGTATCGACAGCYTCAGCAAATCTTTAGGTTCTGTTGAAAACTCATTCATCTTCATCTTATGAGTCATGTCTGACATATTTGTGAACAAATTGCTGTTATCTAATAGGATCTAAATCCATACAATACAGACTCTCTACTGTAGTTTCCTCCATAGATATTTCACTTCCTGGTCTCCGATGGAGATCGCTCCGCATTTAAAACCACGTGACTGAAACCCAGCTATTTTCCAAAACCAGTATTGTTTATTGTTGCTGCTATTTTATTATCATTACAACAAAGTCGGCTATGACGCTTCAGGTTGTGAACAGCATGAAGCTGTTGACATGCAAAAGTGGGAGTGACGGAAGCGAGAGGAGTTCTTAAAGAGACTTAGGCCAATTTCAAAGCGTTTAGAAATGGCTGTGATGTGAAGTCAAGTTTATTTTTGATTTACACATATAAACAACTTTTTCATAACAACTGAAGGTGACATGGTTACTTTATTATTGTATAGAAATGGTAAATCCAAGCAGAATACTCAAAGTGCTTCACAATACAATCTGTGTCCTCATTTACCCTTTCACACAGCACTCTATTATGTCTCTACAAAGCTAACATGTACAATCAACTRTGGAGACTAATCAGTGCCAATCACATTCGTACACTGATGGGACACACGTCAGAGGCAGTGGGGGTGCAGTGCCTTGCCCAAGGACACAACAACTGAGACAGCTGAAATGGGGTATCAAACCGGCGACCTACCRGTTCCAGGACGACTCCCCTAACCACTCTGATAAAGCTGCCTCCAGAATTGAATGGAATTGAACTATATGCTGGAGAAACACATAATATTGGCTCTTTAACAGGAAGAAACCTCCAGCAGAACCAGAACTAAGCTCAGGAAAGGAGGCCATCTGCCTCGACCGATTGTCACTGAACAGTTTTTATTTTATGCTTTTCGTAGTGTGGGATTATTGGGTGAATGCCTTTAGGCATTCAACCTATTGTTTTCGTTTTTCTGTATATTGTACGTTTTTCGGCATCTATCTCGTCCCACAGT